AAAAAAAAAAAAAAAAAGGTCCTTCACCTCTTTTGTGAGGTGTATTCCTAGGTATTCTATTTTCTTTGGAGTTACTGAGAAGGGTATTATGTCCTTGATTTCCTTCTCATCTTGGCTGTTATTGGCATATATGAAGACTACTGATTTGTGGACATTGATTTTATATCCTGAGATGTTACTGTATTTTTTGATCACTTCCAGGAGTCTTGTGATTGAGTCTTTGGGGTTCTCTAAGTATAAAACCACATCATCAGCAATGAGGGAGAGTTTCACCTTCTCTGCCCCCATTTGGATGCCTTTCCTTTCCTTCTCTTGCCTGATTGTACTGGCTAGAAATTCCAGCACTATGTTGAACAGTAGTGGTGAGGGAGGACACCCTTGTCTTGTTCCACTCCCGAGTGGAAAAGCTTTCAGTTTTACTCCATTCGGTATAATATTAGCTGTGGGTTTGTCATAGATGGCTTTGATCAGTTTAAGGAATGATCAATATAGGCCAATGCCTGTATTCTTCAGCATTCTAATTAGGAAAGGATGTTGAATTTTATCGAATGCTTTTTCTGCATCTATTGAGAGGATCATATGGTCTTTGTTTTTGCTTCTGTTGACATGGTGAGTTATGTTTATAGATTTGCATATGTTACACCAGCCTTGCCTCCCTGGGATGAATCAAATCAAAACCACCCTGAGATATCACCTAACCCCAGTGAGAATGGCCCTCATCATGAAGTCTCAAAACTGCTGATGCTGGCGTGGACGTGGAGAGAAGGGAACACTCTTACACTGCTGGTGGGACTGCAAACTAATACAACTTTTTGGAAGGAAGTATGGAGAACCTTTAAAGAACTCAAGCTAGACCTCCCATTTGATCCTGGAATCCCATTGCTAGGCATCTACCCAGAAGAAAAAAAATCCTTTTACCACAAGGACACTTGCATTAGACTGTTTATTGCAGCTCAATTTACAATTGCCAAGATGTGGAAACAGCCTAAATGCCCACCAACGCAGGAATGGATTAACAAGCTGTGGTATATGTACACCATGGAATACTATTCAGCCACTAAAAAAAATGGAGACTTTATATCCTTTGTATTAACCTGGATGGATAGTAAAGCATCACAAGAATGGAGAAATAAGAATCCTATGTACTCAATTCTGATATGAGAACAATCAAGGTCCTAGTACACAGTAGGGGGTGGGGGATGGGAGAGATCTGAGAAAGGGAAAGGGGGGGTCAAGGGGTGCAGCTCACCTTTTGGGATACACCAAAATATAAGAGGGTCCTTATCTAACAAAAGCAATCCGTGTAACCTGGTTCTGTGCACCCTCAATGAATCCCCAACAATAAAAAAAAAAGTCGAGTAGAAAAATAGGAATAAGTGACAGATAATGAATATCACACAATCAAAAGCCTCTCTGGGCCTTAAGAATTTTTAATAATATGAGCACTTACTCTTTATGGGCACTAATCAAAAGGGTTCAAATCACGCTACATGGGTTAACTCACTGAACCCTCACAACAGCACCATCTCGTAGATGAGAAAGCTGAAAGCTGAGCATGGTGGGGGGGGTGTTAGGGACCTCCCTCGCGGGGGCACAACTTGTAAGGGGCAGACCTGGCATCCAAGTCCAGGCAGGTAATACCTACGGTTCCTGCCTGTGAGGTCTCCACTGACCAAATACAAGATGACAAACAGAAGAATGGGCCTTGGATGAGGGGTGCCAATCATGCCGAGAATACCATGTGCAGTGAACAGTGATTTAAGTGTCCACAGGAGGGAGGACAACTAAAATACAACTAGAAGTTAGGAGAAGTTGTCTTCCCTGAGAAAGCACTGGCTTCTGGTCTGTTTCCTCCTGCTCAGCCCCTAATTAGGGGACGCGATAGACGGAAAGTGAAAAGTTAGGTAGCGTTGTTTCCATAAGCTGTAGACCTTGGGCTCTTTATGCATCTTGGAATCGAAACAGTAACTTCCAGGACTCAGTCACAGGTCTCTCCTCACTAACTCTAAACGTTTTGCAAAGACCTTCTATTCCCAAACTATTGTCAGCAACTCATCTTGACAGTCTCAATTCTTGCCAGATTTGGTGCTTTGGTGGCTCCTGTTTCTGGGTCAGTTCCCGTCACGTGGTCCATGCTGGAACTTGTACTTCCTCTACATCTGTTCTTTGCTGCAACTATCCCAGGTCACTCTTCTCATTAAAACCCTCCTTTTCTCTCACCTGCTCATCACTTCCTGCTAGGAAGTTCTCCGATCTAAGATAAAGCCCCTGGCTTAGTGCCTGTAGCTCAAGCAGCTAAGGCACCAGCCACATACACCAG